TTTTTATTGTCAGTCAAAACAATCATATTATTTTGCCCTGTTACTTTGTGAATACAGAGAATTATATTATTTATCTAATACTGACCATTCTTGAAATTCTAGAATGAGTCTTTCTACTTGGTTTTGGTTTGTAGTTTTTTAATATACCATTGACCCTTGAACAACATGGGTTTGAACTGTGTGGGTCCTCCTATCCACAGATTTTTTTTCAATAAATCCGCAGTTGGCTGAGTCTTTGGATGCTGAACCACTGATAAGGAGGGCTGACTCTAAAGTTATACCTGGATTTTTGACTGCGCGGAGGGTTGGCGTCTCTAATCCCCTATTCTTCAAGGGTTAACTGTACTGGCTGTTTTTAGTTTGCTAATACTTAGGATTCTTTTTTTTTTTTTTTTTTTTTTTTGGCTGCGTGGCATACGGGATTTTAGTTCCCCCTACCAGGGATCGAACCTGCACCCCCTGCAGTGGAAGTGTGGAGTCTTAACCACTGGACTGCCAGGGAAGTCCCAGCTAATACTTAGGATTCTTGACTATGTAGTCAATAAGTAAAATTGAGCTATAGTTTCATTATACTATCCTTAACACATCTGAGTTCCAAATTTATGCCAATCTCATAGAATAAATTCAGAAGCTTTTGTCCTTTTCTATGCTGTAAAATTATTTTAACATGTTATCTGCTTGTTAAAAGTGTAATGAAACTCATCCATAAAACTATCTAGTGGTTCTTTCAGGGATAAAACTTTAACAGCCTTTTTCATTTCTGTGTGTTTATTGGTCTCATATTTCTGCTGCTTCTTAAATCAGTTTTCATAATTAATTTTCCTAGAAAATTAATTTTATTAGATAAATGTATTGGTATAAAGTCATTTGTTCCCTTAAATTTTAGAAACTTCCTCTACATATGGGATATTAACTTTTTCAGTTATATCATTGCTTATTTGTGTTTTGTTTTTTCCCTTGATTTGACTTGCTAGAGGCTTGTCCATTTTATTCATGTCTTCAAAGACCTAGTTCTTAGATTTATTTCATCTACTGTCTTCTTTTTATTATGTTAATTTCTGCCTTTGTTTCTGTTAATACATCTCTTCTTCATTTTTTTCCCTTAACCAATAGTTTATGTATACTTTGCAGTGGAGAAATTGGTCATAATTTTTCTCACAGCACCTTTTTCCCCCAAATGTACAATTCAGCAGTTTTTAGTATATTTACGAAATTGTGTGACAGTCACCATTATCTAAGTCTAGGACATTTTCATCCCTCCTCTTGTTACCAAACTTAGGTTCGGCTGCTTGCTGCTCCAAAGCCAATAATTTGAGAGGCAAGTGTCAGTAGAAAGGAAAGGTGCTTTAGTCAGAAAAGCCGGCAGTCTGGGGGGACGGTAGACTTGTGTCCAGAGGCCAACTGTGAAGATCATGCTTAGCCGTGACAGTTTTTAAGGGGAAAAATGGGGTGTGGGAGTGGGGGGGAACCTCAGTGAATCATCGAGGCAGGAGGTTGGGTTCTGCATCATTCTCCAGTCTGTGTGCACATTGGCTGACTCTCCCTTCAGATGTTATCTTGCCCAAGTGATCCCAAGCAGGATTGCTTTAGGGGGGCTGTTGGGAGTAGAAAGCTAGTCATTTTTTTAAACTGCTAAATTCTTCATTCTTACTTCTTTTTTTCTAGGAAAAGAATCAACAAGGCATGGTGTGCATTCAGGAGAGCAAAAGTCAAGAGTTGGGTTAAATTGCCTAATGATCTCATTCCTATAATTAGGTTCTTTTAAGGTTAGAGGGGAACAGAAATGGGCAAACAGGAAAGGGACAAAAAGAGCTGCTTTCACTCTTGCCGTAAACTCCATACCCATGAGCTGTTATTCCCCATCTTCCCTTTTCCCCTATCCCCCTGGTAACTGCTAATCTATTTTGTCTATGTGGATTTGCTTCTGGACTTTTCATATAAATGCAATCACACAATATGAAGCCTTTTGTATCTGGCTTCTCTGGCTTAGCATAATGTGTTCAAGGGCCATCTGTAATGTAGCATGTGTTATTTCATTCCTTTTTATGGCTGAATGATACTTCATTGTATGTGGGCACCACTTTTTGTTTGAGCTACTCATCAGTTGATGAGGACTTGGATTTTTTTCCCCACTTTTTAGCTATTATGAATAACGATGCTATGAACATTCATGTACAGATTTTTGTGGGGACATATGTTTTTATTTAAGTATATGCTTAGGAGTGGAATTGCTGGATTGTATGAGAACTATGTTTAACTTTTTGAGGCACAGCCATACTGTTTCCAAAGCAGCTGCACCATTTTACATTCTTCAACAGTATATAGGGTTCCAATTTCTCCATATCCTTATCAACACTTGTTATTCTCCGTCTTTTCTTTTTCTTTGCCCATTGAATTATCTTGGTCTCCTTGTCAAAAATTAATTGACCATAAATGTAAGAGTTTATTTGTGGACTCTCAGTTCTGTCCCATTGGTCTATACTGCTGTCTTTACACCAGTACCACAATCTTGATACTGTAGTTTTATGGCAAGTTGTGAAATCATAAGTGTGAGTCTTCCATACAAGAGTGTTTTGGGGTATTCTGGATCTTTTGCATTTTTCTATGAATTTTAGGATCAGCTTGTCAATTTCTGCAAAGAAAAAAAAGACAGTTGGAATTTTTATAGGGATTATGTTGAATCTGTATTGTAGATCAAGTTTGGGAGTATTGCCATGTTAACAATATTAAGTCTTCCAGTTAATGAACACAGAATATTTTTCCTTTTTTCTTTATTTTCTTTCAAAAATATACAAGTCTTAACATTTCTTTGTTAAATTTTTCCCTAAGTATTTTATTCTATTTGATGCTATTGAAAATGGAATTGTTTTCTTAATTTCATTCTCGGCTTGTTCTTTGCTGATGTATAAAAAGTCAGTTGATTGTTGATCTTATATCCCACTACCTTGTTGAACCTGTTTATTACCTTTTTTTTTTTTTTTTTTTTTTTTTTGCGGTACGCGGGCCTCTCACTGCTGTGGCCTCTCCCGTTGTGGAGCACAGGCTCCGGACACGCAGGCTCAGCGGCCATGGCTCATGGGCGCAGCCGCTCCACAGCATGTGGCATCCTCCCGGACCGGGGCACGAACCTGTGTCCCCTGCATCGGCAGGCGGACTCTCAACCACTGCACCACCAGAGAAGCCCTATTACCTTTTAATGCATCTCTTCTGCTTTCTTTTTATTTCTTTTTATCATTTTTCCATCTCCTTGAGTTTATGCATGTTAGGCCATTTAGTTTCCGTTTTTTCTAATTCTTTTTTTTTTTAAGAAGCTACTCTTTATTTTAGACAACTTCATAGAATTATTTTCACACGTCCCCACTTCTTACCTTTCATCCTCTTAGTTGAAAAGCCTTGAGAGAGGTGAAAGAAAAATCACAGAGGGTAAACTTTGCAGCAGTAACAAAGTGCTTCCCCCAAGTACAGCTAACCGTTTCCGCAAACTGGCATTCTTCAGAACAGTCTTCCAAAAAGTGTTGCTAGGTTTTCATGGGATAAAGGAGTGGGGGCTAAGACGTCCATGCTCAAATAGTGTGGGAAGCCGTAGATTAAGGTTGGTGTTCTGTACTGTAACAGGAATTCTCAGAGTCCTTAATATTCTAAGATGGGTTGATCTTCAAGAGGAGAAAAGGGATATGGAATACTCCCTAAGCTTTTTGAGCAAACAATCTTTTTTTCACAGAACACAGCAGAAGCAGTTTGAAGTGTGCAGTAATCTCAGGTTTTTGAGCCAGAAGTTAGAAAGCCTGATCTCTTCACATTTTTCCTCCCATTCTTTGCTAATGCCGGCAATAGAGTGACTCTAGAATCCAGACCACTAGTCATGTTTAGAAAGGACAGGTTCATCAAGGATGGAATGGAATGGAAAGAACCAACTACCTCCTCCTTTTTCATTTTACATTTTTCTTCAAACCTCCCCCTCCCCATCTAAGTTAAGCAATACATACACTTCCTCCCTTAAGCAATCCTTGGCTGCTATTTCCCTGCTTTTGTGACAGAGAAACTAATTCATCACTCACTACCTGAGGAGACAAAAAAAGTGCTACCAAGGCAAGGTGGTGGGCTGCCGGAATTTGTCTAATAATAGCTAAAACACCACAAAAAGCAGCACACTCAAAGAGAGGAGGACAGCCTCAAGAAATAATGTGGATACATCATCCAAGCAATACTTTCCAAGCACTGGTCAAATCTCCACCAGCACAGCTGAGAAAGCATTTATGTGAATACCTCAGGCCTGGGTACTGGCCTCTTGGTTTGAGATGTGGCTAGATTTTCCTGAGAAAGGCATCTGCCTTAGACTCTATCTCATTGGTTTACTTTGTTCAGTCTCTTCCGGGCCTGGGCACAGTTCTGCCACTGACCTGCAGCAAACTCCTGATTCGTAAAACAGTCTGACCACATCAAAGGGTTGTAAAACAATCTCCATGGTTATTTAGCTAATTAAACTTGCATTCAACATCATATGCTGATAGGATGAGGCAAAGGATAAGATTCCAATCTTGGATCTTTCCAAGCAGGGCATGTTAGATGGTGACAAGAGAAGGATTAGTTGCTAGCTGGATCTGAGCTCAGGCTTGGCCATGGAGGGAACTGGTTTGGAAGTGTGAGGGGTTCCCTGAGCTCTGGTGCAAACTACAAGGGTTTCACTCAAGGAAGGGTATGATGTGGGCATAAAACCATGCTTCAGACAGTTGAAGATGGTCCCCTTCGAGAGCCAGGAACACCAGCTGTCCTGCGTTGTCCATTGCCTTTAGCCCCAGGTGGTCCTGTGTGTACAGGGTGCTCTCCTGTAAGGGAATGGTTTCCTTGGCTTGGCCACTTCTGTAAAATCCAAACCACTCAGAATCCACGGGGTCCACAATGGAATCATTGAGGAATTTCACCACCACAAACTGACTGCCTAGGTAATAAGTTTTGTGCTATTTTATCATAATCAGAAATATTTTAAAATGTCTTTACAGCCACAAATAAGAAGAGTAATTCACCCAAGCCAGCTCGGTCCAGTATAGCAGGTAGTCTGTCACTTCGAAGAGCAGTAGACTCTGGGGAAAATAGCCGTTCAAAGGGAGACTGTCAAACTCTGTCTGAAGGTAAGTTTGGAGAGTTTAGAATGTGATTTTGGTGGGTAGATGTCTGTTACTCGAAATTGATCTGATGTTATAGCTTTAGACCTCTAAAGACACCAAAAATGCTGAAACTCAATTTGAAAGTTCCTTGATCACACAGAACAGACCCATCAGTAAGAAAGTGCAGCCATTAGACCCCATATTCTGGAGCCCTGAATTTTAAATAGCTGGCATCAAAAAGACTAGGTCATATTTTAAAATTGTTTTTGAGTTTTCCTGCAGTTTAAAATTATATGTATAGTGAGATCTCCTAACGTGGAAACTAGAGAGAGAACTTTCTGTTTGTTTGCCTTCTTTCTGAATATCCCCTTCATTTTTTGTAGGCTCCCCAGGAAGCTCTCAGTCTGGGAGCAGGCACAGTTCTCCCCGAGCCTTGACACATGGCAGTATCAGTGACATTCTGCCAAAATCTGAAGACCGGCAGTGTCAAGCTTTGGATTCAGATGCTGTTGTGGTTGCAGTTTTCAGTGGCTTACCTACTATTGAAAAAAGGAGAAAAATGGTCACCTTGGGGTAAATTAAGTTCTTTTGTTTATGTAATGGAATAATAGCTAATAGTTTTGTTTGGCACTTTAAGTCTACAACGTAATGAACATAATAAATTTCTAGTTTGTTAATTTTTTTAGCAGACAGTTTATTTGTTGTATTAAAATGTAACTTTTCAAGCATCAGAGACCTTACCTTTTTCTTTCTTAACAGAACGAGATAGTACCAGAAGTTCAGTTTGAATACATTAGAGCTCATTTTCACTGAAGTTAGGATAATAATGTTATATAACCTTGGGTGACCTCTGCCTTGTGATATTTTTGGGTCAACTTTTTTTTCCATCTGTCCCATATTTTTCAAAGACATTTGTGCTATGCTATATTATGTCCCATAGGTCTTTTACATGAATTTTGTATACAAGAAAGCACTTCTGGCGATTTTAAAACTGCTTTTCTGCTTTCATCTCACCTTTTTTTTCCCTTTTATGAAAGTGTCCTCAAAACACATAGTTGGAATTTCCCAAAAGGATATATATATATATGGTCATCCGTACCTTTCTCTCTCCCAGGAAACATAAACTCAAATCCCAGTCATGTCACCCAGTCAACATTGTCAATTAAACTTCCATCCATTTAAAAGAGAGTGATTATGGAATGTATTGTCTGTGAATGTGCTAGATGAGCCATTAATATCCATCTGCTGATCTATTACATGGATATTAAATACATTTCTAATTTTAAACAATGGAATAATTCTACCTTGGAGGCTTTGAAAAGAACTTTGAATTAAATTTAGAGAAAGATTAATATCCCTTATAAGTTTACTTAAATTGTATAGAGTTTTAAGATCTGGATAATTACCAAATCTAATAGAACAGTTGGTGGCTGTTTTCTGTTTTAGCTCAAGTTTAAGCAGTGGAAGGGTGTTACAATCATTGGAGATTGTCTTGTCCTCCCCATTTCCTAGCCTGATTTTATACATGTTCCTTTCAAGATGAAGCTGCATCTAGTTTTTATATTTTGTTATGGAGATTTATATCTGCCTTTAGTCATAAAGATTAAATGTGTACTAATGTGCACTTTTTTCTAGATTGTAAAATCCTGTATAAATGTGTAAAGCTCATAGCTATAACCCTCATTTTACAGTTAATTATACTGCCAACCTGGGTCATGTGGTGTTTTCCAGCTTGTGTTTTTTTTCCTTGCCTGATTTAAGGTAGTGTAAGCAAAAATTTTAAATGCTAGTAATAAATGGATCAAAAATGGAAGTTAAAAAAAGGAATATTAAGTTAAAATTTCCCCATCTTTGTCTCCCATCTGCTTTGTTTTCCAACCTTCTGCCCACACACATTCCTGC